ATTTTTTTATATTCTTTTTATCTGAAGAAACTAAAAATATATTTATGTAAGAAAATTCAATACATTTTATTGAACATATTTATTGAACATATTTATTATATATATTTATTATATATTTATTATATATTTATTGAACATATTTATTGAACATATTTTTTATTGAACATATTTATTATACATATATAAAATATTTAATACAAAAATTTCACAAAATTAAATATATTATATCAAATAGCAAATATTTTTGTGTTATTATTATTTAATACATGGAATGTCTTAATTGATCATATTGTCTTTTAATTGATCATAAATCTAAAAATAATTTATAAAATATCAATAAGAAATCTACAAAAAATCTTAAATAAATTAAAGTCTCTAACATTGATGGAGAAATATATCGCATATATTCGACTTTTTCTTATAAATGATTGAAACATAAAAGATTGAAAATTATAAAATTATTAAAATATTAAAATCGCTCAATGATATCTTGATATATTATTACGTGACGTAATAAATTGAATTAAATTAAATTAACAAAGAAAATATTGAATTAAGAAAATAAAAAATACAACTCAACAAAAATCAAACTGTTTTTCTAATAAAACATTTAACTAGAAATAGAATTATTTAAAACAAATCTTATTATGTATGTACGGTATTGTTATACCGTATAGATATACGGTTTAAGAATACAAATTACATGGTTCAAGAATATAAGCGATTTATAAAACATATGTATCGAGTTTGGACAAAATTTTCTGAAGCCATTAAAAATATAATTTATATTTAAAATAAATTCTTCTATATGAAATTGCATGAATACTCAATGTATTGATAAAAATTTGTGAATATTTATTTTTTATTGATACAAATTTATGAATATAAAATTTAATATATTTTAAATACGAATATTGTTAAGATTACAGAAAATAAAGTTTTGAAGTTTTAACATTAACATTTAACAGTACTGAATTGGAATATATGTTTAAACAAGCAATTAAAATTAAAATTATAAGATGAAAATGTAGACGTACTTAAATAATTAAATTTATTTAATAAAAATTAAAATTAATTTAATTAAAATGATTCATATGTTCTTAATAATAAAAATAAAAAAATCTTAAAAATTTTTTTTAAATTCGACAATTGTAATATTAGAAAATTGAAATTTATTAGAGTTCGATAATTGTAATATTAGAAAAATAAAATTTATTAGAGTTTGAATAATTTAATGAATTATTGTCTTTTTATCTACATTCATTATCTACATTATCTACATTATCTACATTTTGCATTTTTCAGTTAGATTTATATATATTGTGCTTTACAAAGTCTCTGAAAGATGATCATTTTATCTTTATTATTTTCGAATACAAAATTAAGCTTAAGCTTTGCTAATTTTTGAAAGTTCACATGGCATGGTCTCAATTCTTTATCGTGATATTCTAAGCATAATATCCATACACAGGTGCAACTGGTCGTATTTAAGCATAACATGCATTCTAACTTTATTTATTTATTTCTTGGGACACAATTATATGAGACATTCAAATTGTTTCATTTGTTCCTTATTGAATCTTAAATATCTTGATACATGTTTTTATTTGTTATGATAAAATATATATTTCATTAGAAAACTTAATCATTAGAATTCTAAATGAAATAATTTAAGTTTTTGAATACATGATTGTAATTTTTTTTTTATAAATTTTTTTCTGTTAAACTATTTATTTTTTCTATTTTTAATTTTAATATTGAGAATACAAAATGTTAAATTTTAGAAAAATCCAATCTTATTTGAATCTTAATATAAACATTTTTTGAAATTTTAAGAAATTAAAAAAATATTTTTACTTTTCAAAAAATAAAAATGAAAAGATATAAAGGAAGAAAATTTATTTAAAAATCATATATTACTATATTTTATTGTAATTATATGCTTATAAAGTGAATTTTTAAATTTGATTTTCTCAAAAATTAATGTAAAAAATTATTTCTATCTTTTTCTTACTTTTTCATAACTAATAATCATTTTATAATAATATTAAATATTATTATTTCTTTATAATCTAAAATTATAAGAATAAACAGTAAAAATAATAGTTTATTTTTATTGGCTAAAAAATATAAGAATATGTGTATAATATAATAAACAAATGTAATATATATAATGTATAATGTATAAAAATTATGTATTCTTTTTGCGCTTCTTTTTATTAAATACATACTCTTTTGCGATCTACTCATTAATGGATTTTAGTACCACTGGAATTTAGTATTATTATAAACAAAAATGCCATTAATGGAATACATTTTAAATGTTTTGATGATCCTTTAAATTTGTAAATCATTTTATTGTAAGTGTGTTAATATTTATAAACGTATATTAAAATATTTTATAGAACACAATAAATATTTATCATAATAAAACATGTTCGAGCAGAAAATAAAAAAATTTATATTCAATTTTATTTCAGTGCCCTGGAATATTGTTTGAACGTGGAAAACATGAATTTATCGGCAATAAGAACAATAAGAGTCCTTAGACCTCTACGTGCCATTAACAGAATTCCAAGTAAGTATAAAAACTTAAAATTGCTGTCTAAAATTGCTGACTTTTCTACTTTTATGAGAAATATTTTCGTGATATATACGAATTGTGTGTTAAAATAAATCAATATTAACGAAATTTATTTGTTTCGATTTTAAAATAAAATTTCGATCGAACAAAATATCGAATAAATTTGTTTTTATATAAGAAAAAAAGAATATTTGTTGTTATATCAATTATATACAGAATGAATTAAATTTGAAATAAAAAGGGGATGGCTCCTCGTTCAAAAACTCGTAAAAAAAATAAATAAAATTTCATTGTACGAATTTTTATGTGTAAAAAAATTAATTTTTATCTGAAAACGTGTATTTGAATACAAATTGTCCTAATCTATATTACCAAATTTTTTTCTTCTTGTTTATAGAGAGTTAAAGATTTATTTATAACATTATTAATACATTATAACACATTCATAACATTTATTTATAACATAATTTAAATCTTAAGAAAAAAATGAGAAATTTTTTTGTATACATTTCTTTCTAATTTTTATCTTTTTTTTTTTTCTTTTATTTTTTTAATGATTCTTAATATAATTTACAAAATTTAAATAATTTGTAGATGTTTGAATTATTAATTATTAACAATAATAAATTTAAGAAAAAAACAAATGATATATATATATATATATAACTTATTATGTTATTATTATTATGATAAAAATTGAAAAATCAAAAAAACATTATTTATATTATGAATGATATATTATTGATAAAAAATTGAAAAAAAATTGCATTATGCATTATGTTTTTATTAAATATGTAATTGATATTTTAAATAATTTTTATTTTTTATATTTTATCTTGAATTTATATAAAATATTTGTTTTCGTTAAACAAAATTAAATAAATTATTTATATGTTTAAAAATTATTACATATAATATGATAAACATGAGTTGAAAATTGTATAATAAATATACACAATCAAAATTATATTATGATTATTAAAATTTCAATTTATTTAAAAAAATTTATATATCATTTATATATGTATATTTTTAGTATCATCAATATAGATAATAACTATATTATATTATGGGTCAAAAAATATTAAAAATAAAAATAATTAATATAATATGGAAGAAAAATAAAATGCGAGAAATATGCATAATATGTAAATAATATGCAATATACAAAAAAAAAATATATTTTTTTGAAATTATCAAATAACAAATTTCTATTTTGTTCCATCTTTTTATATATTTTCCACAAAAATATACATATTTGCATAAACATCCATATTCTACTTATTATTTTTTACAATTTTACAAACTTTATAAACTTGTTATTCGACATTCGCAGAAAAATATTTACCATGAAAATATAATTCTGATGACTCAACTGGATTTCAAATGGTATTTTCCACGGTTGCAGTTGCGATTTTTTTAAAATCCCATAGAAGGGACAATTATATTCGATATATAATTCAATAGATTTAGCATGAATGAATTTGAAACAAGATTTATTTCCGAACTATTTACATGAACAAATAACGAATGGATCAATTTAGAATCGTAATACATCTTCTCGCAATTTCTTATTTTTACATTTTCGAGCTTTATTTTTTGCAGATAACATTCCCTATCGACGCAAATAGAAAAATCTTTTATTTATTTGAAATCTAATGACGTTATTACAGCGCAAAAAAAAAAAAGATTTCAACGTCACGGTTTTTGCCATATTTTTTGTTACTTTTTTCCTCCGTTTCTTTATTTTCAACAGGTATGAGGATACTGGTGATGCTTTTACTCGACACTCTTCCTATGCTGGGCAATGTGCTGCTCTTATGTTTCTTCGTCTTCTTTATATTTGGTATTGTCGGCGTGCAACTGTGGGAGGGCATCTTGCGTCAACGGTGCTTCCTGAAGGCTTTACCCAATGTCAAATATCCTGAGTAAGTGTCACACGAATCGATTCGTTCTCTGTCATGCTGTTCATTTATTGGTTCTTTAAGTATATGGTTATATTTTTTAAGACGATCAGAATTCGTCTGGTTCGTTCATTATTACGCTTTATCTCGCATCGATTCCGCATTCTTTCTCTCTCTCTCTCTCTCTGTCTCTCTCTTTCTCATTTCTCTCATATTCTCTCTCTGCCTTTTATCTTTGCCTTACTTCTTCTCGTCCCTCGTCTCTCTTTTTTGATCCGCTTTTTTCTTCTTCCTCTTCCTCTATGTAATCGTCGAGAGTCAACGTTAACACGCGCGTATATACTAGGCTGCATTGCGTTTCTGAGATAAACGACGGCCGTACTCTATTTCCAGAAGATGGTGCAATACACGGACACGCGACTGGATAAGTATTAATTCACCCATCAAGCGCGCACACGCGCATATCGAATTGCTCCTCGTTTTACGCTTTAATACTTTTCTATCTCTTTCTTTTTCCTTTCATATTTTCTTCATTTTACGTACGATTTTCTGCCTTTTACAAATTTTTCCAATTTTCGACTTTTTGAACTTGAAATTTTTATAGATTTTACAGTCGTTTCGAGAATATTTTCGTTTTTCTTTTATTTTTTGGTATGGATATATAGAGATGGGAAACTTGAAATTTTAAATTCAGAAATATTTATATTTTTCGAAACTTTTAACAGTTAGTAAATAATAATTTCGTATAAATAATTTTAGAAAATATCGTGACAATATGAATTTATTTTTATTCTACTTATAATAATTGAGCTTGTGTCAGAGAGTGACTTATTTTAATTGATACACTTTCATCAATCAATTATAATAGTTTATATCTATATAATAATCTTATTATTGTTGCTTACTATAATTCTCATTGAAAAATTCCAAGAATCAAAATTTTTTACTTTTTTTTACTTTTATTATAAAGAATAAATAAAATAAGTAGAGAAAATGCATATATAAGCTTCGAGAATTTCAAGATATTGTGTAGTTTCGAATTCGAATATTTAAAAATCAAAAAGTTTCGATCCATTTCTTATATATCTTTTTAATTCGAAATTAAACTTATTTCTTTAATACCATGATAATATCAAATTTGATTTGGAGACGAGATACATATAAAGTATCGATAAAGTACTTTGCGAATATTATTCTTCGACCTTGTTTTATTTTTGATTTAAATAGCGTCGCGTGTACTTACGGAATTTTCGTGATTGGTGGTGTCCCAGTTTATAGCGGAAATTCTCGAGAAGAATCTCGCCGCTTCCGCGTATAATATCCCCGGGAACGATCACGTTCATTATCAGATATATTACATCCACCTCTCTATGCTCATTTATTTTCGGCTTTACATATACATATACGTATATACCGATATCCATTCGTTGATACCTTTACATGATATTCTTCGAATACTCGCGTGAAGAATTTTTTAGTGCTAAGGGTTAATATTATTTTTTTTTCAAATATGATGAAAACTTGATGTAAATAATATTTCTACTTTTCAAAGATGAAATTTTTAATATCATTTTCTTTTTATGGATTCATTTCAATAAGTGATTTTGCAACAAGTTATTTTATATAAAATTTTCTCGGTTGTGTGATGTTTTAAAGAAAAATTAATTTTAAGGAAAAATTATTAGTTTTCAAAATTCCTTGGCACGATGAATATTCGCCACATAAGAGTTTCAATTAAAAAAAAAATATACACAGCAGGGTGTCTAAATATAAGCGGATAGGGATGATTTGATATGAGTTGAGAAAAAAAATAAAATTTTTTTGTTTTTGAGTAAATTAAATTTGAAAAGTTTTCAAGTGTAAATTGATTAATATCCAATATCAGTAGAAAGTCATTTTTGAAAATTGAAAATAAATACACATACGTATATAGTAATCAAGTATTTCTAAATTCTAGAAATTTTTTGATTTCTTTGAAAATTTTAAATAAATTTTATTCTATATTTTTTATTTTTATATGAAATTGTTACTCAAGAATTAGCTAAATATACATTTACTTGAAAAGTTTTCATATTTGATTTATTCGAAAACAGTTTTCTAAATGAACAAAATTTTATTTTTCTCTTTCGATTCATTTTTGCACTTATTCTATCCACTTCTGAGATGGATGAGTGAGACACCCTGTACATTATAAAGATTCAAACAGGGCACTAGGTATATACATGAGTGTATGTATCTTCTCTTTAAAAAAACGTTTCCGTATGATTCGTTTTCATGCAGTATGCTGAAATGCATAGCGATATATAGCTCGAGTTGTCATCGTAAGGTATCACTTCGAATAAATTGAAAGTTTTCTCTTCGCTACTGATTTTCTTTCCGCTTATTTCCGCACTTCTCTCTCTCTCTCTCTCTCTCTCTCTCTCTCTCT